CTGGCGTAAATAAACAGTGCCCCTCCTTCTCTTTAAAAACGTCGCTTGGTTTTTCTTTGGTCTTCTGCAACAGTTTAAGGGGGAAGTGAGATAGCGACCAGACCTCATCTTGTGCTGGCAGTCAGACCCTGTCATGGGGCTGTGTATGGTTTATAGCTCCTGTTAAGATAAGCATTAAGAGAAACAGGTTTTGCAAGACTAGCTAGGACACAAGTGGAAAGAGGATTCGGGCTAGCAGACATATGCATTGAAATGCAGGTTGGGGTTGTGGGGGGGGGGGGGGCGGGCTCAGGCTGCCTTCACAACATTACATTATCACCCATACTATGCTGTCTAAGATATTATTCACTACTTAGGTTCTTTTCCTGGCAAAAGTATGTTGACTCTTAAATATTTGAAACTAGAACCCAAGAATGGGTGATTTTTGTTTTCTTTGGAATTCTTTTTTTTTTAAAAAAGTGGAAATACCTGTGGTTTTTTCTTACCTATACAGGATATTTTAAAATTTTTCTTAAATATAAATATTTGTTATTAATGTTGTTTAAATGCCTTATGCTCTCCACATGGGGATAGCCATTTACTATGTCTAGGGATAGCAGATGCTTTGCTATTTGGAGCATATTACTCACCTTAAAAAATTAATGCATCATATACCTCACAGTAGTCATTAGTTTTTCAGTAATTTGTGGATCTTTCTTCATGTAGTCATATGATGATCAAACTTCACCCATTTATTATTTCAAATATACTATTAGGTAACCATGGAGTATTAAATTACTTAGGACCATAACCATATGAGAAATTGAAGAATAAAGAATGCATTTTTGATTGGCGGCAAATCACTCCTGTTGTTAATGTACTAGAATGCAATGAAACCCAGTTTCAGCACCCTTCAAATGGAAGGAAGTAAAAGAAGATTGAACTGGATGGCAGATGTCATAAGATCTAGGCACAAATGAGAGCCCTGCAATCTGGAAATAGCTCCTAACTGCCTCAGCTTCTGTTTCTCCTCTTACAAAGAGGACATGTTCATCCATTCTTCCTAGAGTTGTCACAATAGTACATTGGATGATTCAGATGTCATGAATATTAAGTTGGTCAGTTTTGGTGTCATTTCAGATGTCCTCTCCCCCAGGGAGTCTTCCCTGACCTACTTCATGTACTGGTGTAAGTGCTTCTGTTTTGTGTCCTCTTTGTACTTTGAGTATATTTTTATCATAGTGCCCTATATAATTGTTACTTTCCTGTCTACCCACCTCCTGCCTCCAGACTGTGAGCTCCCAAAAGCCAGTCTTTTCATATCTGTGTTTTCAGAACCTTGAATAGTGCTTAAATTTTGCTCAAAAAATGACTTTTAAAAAGAAGTTGGTTAATCTTAATATTAATATAGTAGTTGCTACAGTGTTGGATATAAAATTTTGCTTTTATTTATATCTCCAGTGAAAGTGAAAACATTTTACTATTTTACAGGACCTGAATTACAACTAATGCTGCAATTTAGAGTCATAAGTGATTTTGTTATTAGGTTTACTTAAGAAAACACTCTCAACCGAGCAATTAGTATGAGTTTTTGAAAGATAGGCTTAGAAGGTTAGAATGAGGGTGTGCGTGGAATCAGAATATGAATATTTCAACCAGAATTGATGGTAGAAAAATTCATTAAAAACGGACAAGTAACAAAGTGTATTAAAACAAAGAAACAAGCCGAAACCGGTTTGGCTCAGTGGATAGAGCGTCGGCCTGCGGACTGAGAGGTCCCAGGTTCGATTCCGGTCAAGGGCATGTACCTGGGTGCGGGCCTATCCAGTAGGAGATGTTTCAGGAGGCAGCTGATCGATGCTTTCTCTCGCATAGGCAGCCACTGCTTGCGTTGCAAACTCACCTTAAGGCTGTACTCAATACTTGGATGCATCTTCCCAAGCAGAACATACAACGAAAAACGTATTTCCTTACACATTTTATGGGGAGAAGGGCAAAGAGCTGTATCCACGGCAGAGAAAAAAATTCACACAATTTTTCTTAAAAAGCCTCTTGGGCCTCTAGCCCCACACCCATTTTCTGTCCCCACCAGGCCTTTGAATGCCTTGTATTGACAGGATTCATCTAGTTCTGGCTTTAAATTCACATTGGCCATCAGCAAGCATATCAGGTAGCTAGGAGACCACCCATTTAGAAAGCTGTTCTAAAAATGCCTGTATTGCAGTGATTTTCTAACTTTAATACCTGTGTCCCAGAGTAAGAAAAATAATTTACACTGTAATCTAAAATACATATATACACCAGGATATAATTGAAATAAAAATGTCTTATGAAAGACTTTTACAATGGACTCATTCCTCCTCTCCTTCCCCTCTGCTCTTCTCTGCTCCTCTCTTAGTGTATTTAATTAAAAAAAAAAAAAGATACTAGTTCTAACCAACAAATTTCTCTTTACTGGAAGTTAAAAAAAACACCATTTTACTATTGTTTAAACATGGCCTTTTAAGTCTCAGTCCACAACCCAAGCAGCTTATAAAGTTATTTAAAATACTAAAAACAGGTTCCTTTCAGGGATGTGTCTAAGTCCATTCAGGCTGCTATAACAAAATACCACACTGGGTAACTTAGAAACAACATAAATTAATACATTTCTCACACTTCTGGAGGCTGAGAAGTTCAAGTTCAATGTATCAATATGGTCAGGTGAAAGCTCTCTTCCTGGTTCATAGCTAGTGACTTCTTCCTATGTCCTCAGGGCACTAATCCCATTTGTGAGGGTTCCACCCTCATGACCTGAGCACCTCCCAAAGGCCCTATCTACTATACCATCTCCTTTGAGCATTAGGATTTCAACATATAAATTTTGGTGGAGGGCACAAACATTCACACCATAGCAGGATGCTTCTGCTGTTAAAAAATAAATAGCCTTCTTCCGTATTATTACCTAAAATACTTGAGAACTGAGAACTTTAAATGACTTCAGGTTGATTACTTAGTGCTTCCTTTGTATTATGCCACTTTAAACCTCTCAATTCAATTCCTCTTTCCTGGGTCTACATGGCAAACGTCACTGGCCTTGAGAAGAGCCGTAATGATCATGCCTGTCACAGCTGCTCCCTGCTGTGGTCCTTTTACTAAAAGAGAAGGCCTTATTAATTTTTTTTAATTTAAATTCCTGCTACATTTTAAGATGTGAAACAATTATAAACTGTGTAAATTCATGTTTAAAAGTGCATGCCATTTAAGTTTCTTATCACTGAAAACATTCCTTTTCTGTCACATGCATATAGTTTATTCCCAGTTGTCTTGAAATGAATTCTCCTCAGTGTCTTGGCCTGATGCTTATAAAAGTCATCACAAAGCTGGTTCCATATTGGCCATAGGGGACGTCGTGCTTGAACGCACCATCCATCTCATTGCCACCACTTCTTTTCCAGGTGGCAGCAGGTTGAGCTTATGTCACAATTCATCATTATTATTAACATATCCATGTGTGGGCATATGAATGATGCTATGGGGATTTTACATAAATATGAAAGTGTAGTCCATGCCTGTGAGGACATTAAAATAAAATTAAATCAGAAGCAGTTACCATACGCAGTGCCTAATCTGGTAATATGGTGACCATTTGCTGATGCACTATCCCGTATTTCCACATTACTGTTTGCAAATGATTTGATCAACTCCTGCCAAGATGTGCAAAAACAACTAAATGAAGAGCCTTTTTTCAAAAATGTTCTCCTATCTCTGCTACCAAGTTCATCTAATAGAAATATCTTTTGGAGTAAGTGGCACTTGTCTACTGTGGAAAACACTATTTGGTGACAATGTTGAAACATCCAATATGAATTATAGCCACTTACTACAACAGAATCAAAGAACCCTATTCCCCTCTTCAAAATCAATAGAAAAAATGGTACTTGCACTAGGTATTTTTTCTTCGTAAAGAAAAATGACAATACATTTTGTTCCAGGGTAGTTCAGATATTTCTCAACTAGCAATGTGGTTTAATCCTCCATTTATTGGCTCAGGTGAAAGGGTCCTATTGCATCTCAAAGGGAAGAGGCAATATTTTTCACAAATAAATTACCAACTAACTCAGTTGCCAATATTGTTTAAACTATCTTTCAGGAAGGGAGAAATAGAGAGCATTGCATTTCGGACAGTAAACATTCATGTATCTTTACCAAAATCTTTACTTAAAATCATGTATTCAAAGCTGAAGTGTTAGACATTTTAAAATGTTAGGCTATATAAAGAATATTTCCTATTTATGAACTTATCTTAATAGATTTTTTAAAAAAAGTTTTAACATGGTCAGACTTTCCTTCTCAAAATTCTGTTTCTATTATTTTTACATCATGAATCAGTAATTTTAAAAGCCTCATAGTTGAAAATTTTCTGTTGAATAATTATTTGTTTATCACAATGAATGTTTACTCTGTATACATGTTGTCATGATTCTTTATTGGTCTTATTAAAAAACAATATATATATAATTGATTTTATTTAGTAAAAGCAATTTCTGTAGGTTTTTGTGTGTGCAAAAATTAGGAAAGCAATGGAACCCCACTGAACCATTCACATTAAATGCGGTAAAGTGGAACATATATGGATACATAAACACATATAGTAAGTTAGTACTGAGAACTATCAGAGATCTACTGAAGCTCAACTAAGGAGTCAACATTTAATATTTTATGTTATTTTCTTACTAGAGGCCTAGTGCATGAAATTCATGCACTGGGGGGAGAGAGGAGGGTCTGGGACCCCTCGAGGGATGTCCCAGGGATCGGGCCTAAATGGGCAGTTGGACATCCCTCTCACAAATCCAGGACTGCTGGCTTCCAAATGCTGGTCTGCCTGCCTGCCTGATTGCCCCTAACCACTCCCTTGCCGGCCTGGTCACCCCCAACTTCCCTCCCCTGCTGGCCTGGTCTCCCTTAACTGCCCTCCCCTGCCAGCCTGATTGCCCACAACTGTCCCCCCTCCCCCCATGGCCATTTTGTGGCCAAATGGGGGCGGCCATCTTGTGTTGGAGTGATGGTTAATTTGCATATTACCTCTTTATTATATAGGATTTTTTTTGAAATCTAAGAAAATATATAAACTGTGGAAAGTACACAGACTTAATATTTTATAGTGTCTTCCAGAGAGGGTTTATGAAAAAGCCAAGTGTTATGATTCTCCTTAAGCAATGACTGAGTTATATGGGTAAATACATATTAATGTTTGTGTTACTGCTTACTTGACTAGATCTCTTCATTTTACTACTGAGAATCATGTAACTTAAAAACAACAAAAATAACAGCATCTGATTAACAATAAGCAGATCCATTCTTTAAATATGTGTTAGGTTAAGAAAGGACTTTGGATGATTAGAATTCCAATAAAATTTCCATAGCTAAAAGGAGCAAAAAGAAATGCACACATTTTAATGATTTTGTTTTGGATAGGCCAGTTTTGCTGATGTTAATGTATATTTGGAGCCTACTGTAATTTCTATACCTTTCTGTATTTTTCAACTGTCTTGTATAAAAAGGAAAAAAGTAAACTAAGCAACTAGTTAAAGAGTAATGGGCATTCATATTCAGACAATTTGTATATTCTTAAAAATGTGTTTAATTACAACTGCTCCAAAATTATCCCAGATTTTTAAAAGTTTTATTTTAAGTTTGAAGACTAGACAAGGTCATACTGATTTTACAACATCCTACATTATTTAAGTATATATACAAAGAAAAACAACAACATTGGAATATTACACAGCTTGAATGTTTGCAAAGGTTATTTGTGTATTAGTTATTTCTGTACTTACTGACACATCAGATGCCAGCAGTATTATATTTCATAATTTGCTGCCTAGCAAAGGTACAATCTTAGTACCCTAAGTCTTCAAAATTCACAACAGTCCTTATGAAGTCATAAAGAAAGAGAAAGTCAATCCTAATAGTAGAATTAGTGACTGTGATAAATGCTTTTAACAAGACATAAATATAATTGGAGATGTTTAAAATGTTAATTTCATAGATTATAAAATTACCATACTATAATTACTCAATGTGATGAATACTAGGGAATTCTGTATATTATGCTTATACAATTTCACTTGTTTTAATGCGAATTTAAATAGAGTAAATTTACTTCACTTTGATGTCACTGATACAAGTGACATCAAAGCTACATGTCACTTCACAATAATTAGTAACATTTCCACATGTCAAAATCCCATCATTGTCATGAATTTTGAGCATTGCGGACAAATAGATATTCCATTTATTGTGCCGTGTTGGTGAAGAGCATTTAAAGCAGCAGAGAGAAAATGCACAGGCAAGAGAAATTCATTTTGTTGTATTTCTAAAAGGTGACAAATACACTTTTAATAAACTCCCTTTGAAAATATTTGCTTAAAAAGCTATCAATAGAATGAAATCAAAGTATCATAGGAAGCCATGAATAATTTTGAAAAAGTAAGTCATTACAAAGAATTATAAATTTTAAAACATTCGGTAAAGAATGATAATTATTCATCATCTACAAAGGAAAACATCTAGAAATTTGGTCGGACAGTAAAATTTTGAAGAAGAATAATTACTTAAGTCCAGAAAATATACACATACTTATGTGTATATTTTCTGGACTTAAGTAATTATTTGCAACATGACTTTAAAATTTAGCAAATTAAAAATATTTAAGTTCCTAACTTTAAAGTTATCACTTAAAAACAATATTGAAGACATGGCAATTTTGTTTTTGAAAGATTATGAAAACTGATCACTATTTTAGATGCTTCAAATTAATGGTATTAAGAGCCTTAAGTAGAGAGTGTATGAGCATAGGACAAATATGTGGCCAGACAGTCCTAATTTTGCTCTTACTAAAAATACCATCATGATTGACTTTCTCTTTAAATCCTTCACTATAAGACCACTCCATATATACATCATTAAGAAATGCTAATAACACATGGACAGACAAGACAGTAACATTCTAGTGGCTTTGTTATGCAGCACAAATTATAAAAGGAAAAAATAAAATTTAGGGTTGTTGCACAGGACCTCAACATTTCGTACACACACTGTACTTTCTTTTCCAGGACCCTTAATTTAAAACTCCAATAATTCTGTGTCTAAGCCTTATAAAAGAAATAATTGTAAAGCTTATAAATTAGATATTGAGGACTTTTATGGAGGCAGTGTGAGCTTTAATTTGAGAAATGTGTCAATGAAACCTCCATTATCAATAACAAATTGTTATGATAATTGCTTATTTTTCAGGACCTTTGAAGCAAAATAAATAGAAATCAATTTTCATCTTGAAAATGGTTTACTACTTTGCCATTAGTAAGTACTTTTCTTCTCACAAATAACTACACAATGTGCTTTCCTGGGAAACCACCACCAGTTTCAAATCTTAATAGAATTCTGGTTTCACAGAAAGTGCAGAGATGAACAAAGAAATAATGAGTATGCTTGGCCAAGCTAAGCAGCACTATGTTAACATTTGTTGAAATATTTTTAATAGAGAAACAAAGGCTTCAGCATTCTATTATGTTAAAGTAAAGATAAGGCTATATAAATATCATGGAAATGAAGATAAAAATTTTGGTTTTAAAGGAACATAATACAACTTTGTTCTTGTTTATTTTCCAAAATGGTAATATTATTTTTTTTATAAAGGAAGTATCTGGAATTTACATAGGTATAGCCTCCTTCAAAAATAGATTTCATATTCAATCTACTGAGATTAATTATGATCAATCTACTCATTTTCAATCATGTTCCATATGTAAACAATGATACTTCTTTTAGGCAAATAATAGAAAAAAACTCAATTGGAAAAATGTGAACTTATTTAGGCAATATAGAATATAAAGAATATAAAATAGAACCAAAAAAAAGATCACATGATGTCTGATTAGAAAAAGTAAAGTAAGAACTATAATATCAATTAGTACTACATGTTACAAATTCTTCTTCAAAATTCTGTTATAAACACTGACAGTGTTTGGTAGGCACAGGGAAACAATTAGGATAATGTAGAGTCACTACAGAAAGAAAAAAATCTTATTGCTAACATTGTAGTATCCCTTTGATAAGAACTGGTTGTGCATTGATTATAAAAGCTCTACCAACTCTTGCTTTTACTTGATAACTATGAGATTTTTTAACCTTGCTACTCTCTTTCCCTAATATATTTCAACCATTGTGAATGATTCTGGAAACCGTGAGAAAAGAAATTCACAGTTAATGTGATGTTGCTTAAGAAATTTAAATAATAAAAATCAAATTAAACCTTTGAAAAGGCAGGCTTAGACCTCCTTAAAAAGATAGTTTGTGGCCTACCATAATTTGAGCACTTTTTCATGAAAAACCCCATTCAGTTTCCTACAGATTTAGCACAGTTCATTCCATGGAGATAGAGAGGAGGGAACAGAGAGGAGGGTCCTGGGTGTGGGTCTCCTCACTCCTGCTCTGTGCAGCCCAGCAGCTCCGACCGCAGCGTGATCCTTCCGTACCAGGACCAAGGAAGGATCCTTATGTGCCGCGCATAGATGGGAGGGTCGATGACGTTTTTTCTGTGGGTGTCATTGTCAAAATTGCCCTGGAACACCTGGTAAAGGAGAGTGAAGAACATCAATCATACGGCTGCTTCTTCTTGGGAATTATTTTTATTATTTTCTTATTTGGAGTCCCCCCCCCCCAACCCATGTGAGATTTGATAACAAATCATGTTATGTTTTTTAAAACATATTGCAGCTTCTTCCTCTTTCTTTTTTTTAGAATCATTATTGTTGAAAGTATTACATATGTCCCCCTCTTTCCCTCATTCTAGCCCTTTCTAGGCTCCCCCACCCCCAGTCCCAGGCCTTCACCACCCTGTTGTCTGTGTCCATGGGTTATGCATATATGCATACAAGTTCTTTGGTTGATCTCTTCCCACCCACCCACCCCTGCCTCTTAAAGCCCAGCCCAAATGCAGCTTCTTTTTAATAATCATTTTTAAATTAAATTGTCAATCTTTAAAAAGAGTTAAATAAGACAAAACTGTTTTGTGTTATGCAGGAATCTATGTAGATCTATCATTTTATTTGCCTATGAATTTTTAAAAATACAACAAATGTTTATTTTTTGCTTTGGTCACAGAGCGCTGCTGGTTAGGCAGTGTGTGCTGAAAGTGCTCTTGTCTAAGAGGTGACACAGAGATCCAGGTTGCTTGCAAATTTCAGCCACATTTGAAACATGTGGCCTCCACACTCACAAAGGACAGGGCGGGAGAGGGTTGCTAGATTGTGCAGGATATCTGAAAGAGCAAGGTATGGAAACAGCTTGCATCATTTCTGGATACATCTCATTGGCCTTAATCAATTATAGGAACCTGGCCCAAATGAAAACGGGGAAGTAGAGAGGAGAACATGGATATCTGGTGAGCATAACAGTCTCTATCACAGTGTCTTTTTGCTCACTTCTCCATAGAGAGCAAGATTAGTCCATCTTCAAGAGAGGCAACCTAATCAAAGCCGTTTTTGAACTATACTTTTTTTTTTTCTTTGCTTCTCTATTAATTCCTGGATCCACACAATACTGTTGTGATCATTGGTGCCCATACGCTCTTAGATATTGCCATTACATACCTGTTCTCCCTTTTCTTCTTTTGTTTGAGACCTTCATAATAACTTTGAGAAGTGTCTGCCTCACGATAAACGAATCAATACTATGACCCTGCCCTGGCCAGGTGGTTCAGTTGGTTGGAGCATCATCCCATACACCAAAAGGTTGGGAGTTTGATTCCCCGTCAAGGCACATACTGAGGTTGGGGGTTCCATCCCTGGTCGGGGCTTGTACAGGAGGCAATGGATCGATGTTTCTCTCTCACATCAATGTTTCTCTCTCCCTTTCTTTCTCTTTAAATAGTCAATAAAAAAACAACAATGTCCTCTGGTGAGGATTTAAAAAAAATTATTAAAAAATGATGACATTGGGATCCTGATAAGAATGGCATAAAATGATACATTATTTTTGGAGAAATTCATGTATTTATAATACTTAGTCTTAAAGATTTTACTATTTTAAACCATGGATTCTGAACATTTAAGTATTTCTAAGTGTTTCATATTTACACTTTTGGATTAGAGCTATTAGGATAGTAAAAATTACTTCAAGGTTTCCCTTGTAACTTTATGAGGCATCTTATAATGAGAAGATAATTTTATTTCTTGCTTGAGATCAAAACATACCTATATGTCTAAAGGGAGACCTGAAAATAAAACTTCCCCAAAGCAGTGAAAAAAAACCTCCATTATCAATGACAATATTTAGCCCGTATCTTTGAACATCCTAAAACTAAAGGGAATGTTTTAAAAATAGCCTTTTATTTTTAGTTGGTTCAGTCCCATATGATCAAAAAGGTTCCCTGGAAAGAAAAAAAAATAAAGATATTCTTCTCTGAAGCATTAGACAGCATGACACTGATTAATAGAAGCAACAGACAACATGGGGTAATCTTTCTGCTGGTTTCATGGAAAGATTATGAGGGGAAATACAAGTGCCACTGACATCTGGTGGGGGAATGATTTTTCAACTTGACACCAAATATATCTCAAAAGCTATTATTGAAAAATATTTGCTGAAGAAGAGAATACTGAACTATGCCACATCTAGAATTCATCCTCCTGGCATATCTGAATTCACATTCATATAATAAAAATTTCATCTTCAGCAATGCTCGGGCTTGCACTGACCAAGGAGGAATTAGCTCTGGATTAAAATGTGTTACTAAGTAACAGTGCCTCTGTTAGCACACGTTCACATGTATAGGACATACCCTACAAATGCTTATCAAAATCTTGAGAGGTTGTCATTTCAACAGCAGAAAATAGGAGAGTACACACTACGGTTTCCTGACTTTCTCTCCGACATATGATATTAGATTCAAATGCTTCACTGAGACTGTGGTGTTACAATTTAATATAAAAACTAAAATCCAATTTCATAGCCCTGCTAGAGATCTTAATGTATATCTTTGGGATTAATAGAGTTTAAATTCATTAACTTTCATCACAAGATCTATAACAGTCCAAAATATAGCCTTATGACACTTGTTGGGAAGGAAATATGGGAAGAAACAATTTTCTTTTACGTTGCTGGTCTTCAGCACACGTTTTCATAAGAAACTATCAACCCATGAAGCTACAGTCCACTTATTACCTATACCCCTCTCTTTATCATGGAGAATACATATAGAGAAATGGCATCAGCTCTGAAATTGCACACAGCTAGGGCATTTCTGATTTATTGTGTGAAAGTCATAAATATGTGCATGCTCATTAAAAAAATTAAATGAAGTTTCATAAAACAGGATGACTTACAACAAAAATGTCCACAGAAAAACAGCCAAGATCCACACTGGAATCACCCAAACTGTGATCTAAAAGTTCTGAAAACACAGTCTTATTTTCAGAGTTCTCTCAGTAATGACACAGCATCGAACACAAAGCACACATTTGCAAATTCCAGCATGACATCTTGTACTTGCTGTGCAAACATGTGGCACATATGCTGTTTTCTTATCTCTAGCACTGGGAAGAGCCTGCTTAAGAATGCCATTTCCATGTTTCACCTGGCCAAAATGCAAACTCAGTGTTTTTAGTTAGCTTCATAAACTCTAAGAATTCTAGAAGAGTGCTTTCACATACACACTTTAGAGATTTAAGCACCTTGATTGAAATCAAGCCTGAAATGGCTGATGGAGAAACTTAAATCTCCGTATAGCAGGGAAAACATGAGTTGTGAGAAAGTGGCTTTTATTGAGAAGTTTTTTAAAGGAATTTGCACAAGTTTCAGTTTCAGGAGATTTAATTAGCTGATGACAAGTGTGCTGATATACTCAAACATGCTCATCTCAGGGGTCTCTTAGGCTTCAACCAACATATGGGGCCTCAAGAAAAAAAGCACTCCAGGTATTTTGGAGAGGTTTGCACAATTACAGCTCAGGAGTATGTAGGAGAAAATGCAGCTGCCTCAATGTGACTGAGATCTTGGAATTTGTTCTCTAATATCAACTCTACTAGTTAAAATTCAAATCAGATTCAAGGGAGGATTCAAATCTCAATGCACAGAGACTACTGGATAAAATTTAATATTCCAGCAACACTTAATATTTTTATAAGATGAGATTTGTCATTCTTTGTTAGAAACAATGGAGTATTAAGGCCAGAGTAGATGTCATCAGTAGGAGGAGCCAAGGAACTTGGAGGGAGGCAAACTTTTTGACTCCAGGGCCACAATGGGTTCTTAAACTGGACTCAGAAGAAGGAGCTGCGGCCGTGTTTCCCGACGTTGCCGTGTTAACACTGCTGCTGGTGAAGGAGCAGAGGGGAGAGCAAGAGAACCCTCCGCTCTTTCGGCTTCGCGGGCCGGAGAGAACAGCCGAACAGCCCAAGGCTGACTCAGCCTCTCTTAGCGGTCATGTATTATGACTCTGCCTTCCACAAATATCCAGAAATCCTTTGGGGAATTTCTTGCATATACTACTTAATTAGCAACTCATCTGGTTTATGAAGATGTAATTCTTTTTATTTGTCCTAAACTTAAGTCATTAAAAGTTTTAAAGAGATTCCCATTGTTCTAAGCTTTTGGAATTTACTTCCTATGGTCCAAATAGTGAGTAGTTTTAAGCTTTTTTTTTTTTTTTTTACAGCCTCCCTGAGCTCTGCAAGTCAGTTTTTTAGCAAGGTGTCAAGTGGCCACCAGTGCATCCCTCTGCCTATAGGTCACCCTCTCTACATTTCACTACCTCTTTTCTGATATGTGGAGACTAAAACCATATGTGGGATTCCAGATACTAAGGAAATAAATGGGTTAAAAAAGCTTTCTCAAGTTTTCTGCATTTGCCTTGTTAATAGCTTCAAACGTACCGCACCATTGGCTTTATTGGCTATACATTTATTCTGATCTGATGTCCTTAAGAGAGAGAAAGGACAAAGATAAAAAATCCATTTCTCTAGGGCAGCATGGTGTATGTGTGGGGGCGCGGGGAAGGAGAGAGCAGGAGAGTATAAAAGCTAGGCATTCTTTATTTAGCATACGTAATTTCAATTACGTGTCCTCTTCATCTGGAATGCTTATAAAGAAGTTAGAAGAGCAGTCTGATTGCTGAGAAACTCTGTTTTTATTTAATTCTACCCATAAATGGAAGAAACTGAGACTTGGAAGAGAAGGCACAGCACCAAATGCCCTCTTTATTTCAGACGTGGAACTGTCCACCGATCTCAGTGTAACAGGGCAGGTACATATTTAGACACTTCAAATGTCTGCCTATCTATTGGCCTGGAATATGTCTCTTCCTAAGGTCCATCTACTGATCTGAGTGCTTTATTCTTATGCGTATAGAAATCTAGGTATCCAAAAGCAACAAGAACAAAAAGACGTACCCAGCATCACTTTTTACATATTTAATAATAACTAACACAAAGCTTTCAAATTCAAACTCAAGGGTAAACTTCCATGGTTCTTCAAACACTTCCTCAAGTAAGATGAATTTCAAACTTATCTTGATTTTATTCCATTGGTTTCCCTCTGGTTTAACTGTAACTTGATTCGAGTATTTGTTTG